CCCCACCCCCCAAAAAAGACAACTACCTATTCACGAAACAATAGAACGAGGGTTCATCAGTTGTTTAATGGGCCAAGAATCAAATTCTCAGTAATATGTGAAAGTCAGTAGTGAGAATTACTATTAAGGTGGCTCAAAACAGTATCCAGCACTTTCCATGACTTAAACTTTGATAGCGGAGCTTCGGCGGCCCGAAGGGCCGCCAAGCGGAGCCCCATACTCATATAGGAAAGAAAAAGAAACCCATGAGTTGATTTTCTCATGGTTATCATGGCTAGCGGTATTGCTCGTGGGCGCGTACGCACGACGGCGGCGACGACGACGGAGTCGCGCAACATGGCGGCCATACTCCAAATAATAGGTTGACAGAGATATGCAGCCTTGGTTTACCTAAATCTATATATTAGGCTATTACAGCCACTCTTTGTCAGTTGACGTTACGTTCGTGGAATCATAAAACTGCTCAGTCATTGTTAAACACGTTGCTATCAATATCGTGACACGATAAGTTACCATAGCAACAGTATGTCCTGCTAAAGGCACCCTTAGTTAGCCTTAAATGCTTATAATTCAAACACGACACGGTTCTGCTTATGAAGTTCACAGCCAGCTAACATTTTCGAAAATTTAAGGTGGATTTGAACATGTGCAATTTTTTTTTTTGAACTAAGAGACTGAAGTAGAAATCATTTCACTGCTGATATAACTTTAGGCTGACGTGTCATACAACATCCCGGATGTTAAGGAGGAACCAGCGTTTGATCTGAAAGTGAGTTTGAAACGATCCGACGATGTCTTTGGACCCATTCTTGCAACAGAAACTGGCGAACCTTTGTGTCTACCTTTGGAAGTCTCCATCAATGCCAAGTAAGTGGCCAGTGGAGTGGAAGTGGAACTAAGTGGAACTAAGTTGACAGCATGTTACGTCAAGGGTTCATTAAATTGTTAGTACAGTGAATTGCAGTTGGAAAACTCTAGGTTTAAGCCACGACCTTAGGGCGAGACATTTATTTTTCACAATGCTTCTCTCCACCTAGGGTGGGTATTGGCGAATATTTGGGGCAACTTTAAAATGCTGGAGGATAGTGTCCAACCCAAAGGAACCACGAGATATACACATAGCTGCCTTCTGGATTCTCTGGTTCCTAGGATTAGAACAGTCTTGTTAGAGAGATCGTTCAATTATCTTAAAGGACACGTAACTACTACTGTCTCTACTGGTTCTATGTTTGATAAACAGCTGATGAAAGACTTCATATTTTAAACTCTTTCAATTGCAAAACCAAAACTGCACTCTTGTCTCATCCTACTCCCATCCTGTCTGAAAGCTCTCGTCCTGTATTCTTTTCCTGATCTTCGAAAGAAAAACAAACTGTGAGCAGTCTTAAAACCTTTTTTGTCTAAGAACCTTGGTAGCTTCGGAGAGAAACGCTTGGCTTGGACCGCTATGAAACTTTGTAAACACCTTGTAGCACCTTGAACGTGGCATTTTTCTATTCATTTATTGTTTTGTTAGAGGTTTTGAGTGTTAATTCTATCTCTTTCATTCAAACGTTTATGAGCTTGCTGATAGTTCGTTCTTGGTTTAGGTGGCTGAGGGAAGATTCGTCCAACATGGCGGTTATTGATGTGAAACTTGTCTCAGGATATCAGGTTGACGAGGAGAGTTTAGATAGGGTGAGTTACCATGGTCAAAAAAATAGCTGCGAATCAATTTATCAGCACTTTCATTGACAAAAATAGAACATTTCAGGAAAACGCGCACTCAAATCAGGAAGTAGAAAGAAACACGCGAACTATTCGTATTTTTATAGCGGAGGAATGTAAAGTTACAGCGCTTTGAAACCTTTTTAAAGAGACGCATGTTCATGGCCAATATCATGTTACTTTCATAAAAAAGTTAGTTACCATGAAACCTTGTTTGTTGTACTATTATAGCCTATCATGGACGTCTCCTATATCGTTAACTAAATGAAATGACTGCACATATAGGCTATATCAGGAAATACATGTAAAATAAATGAGAGTTATGAGTGGATTGGAATTTGGTAAGTGTTGGTTTTTGTGGAGGAAGGAAAAGTGGAGAATTCGAGGAAAAACCCGCGGAGCAAGGACGACAACCAGCGACAAACCCGACCCACTTGCGAAGCCAGATCGGGGATTCGAACCCGGGCCACACTGGTGAAAAGCGAGAGCTCTCTTCACTGCTGCACCCATCACGACCAGCTCCCTCTTATCAGCTGTTAATCACCCCTGCTTCCGGTCTAATTACCATGAAGATGATAAGAATGTCTCAGTAACAAACAGCGTACATTGTAACTCGTTTAGTAACTCCTGCATCCTTGATTTAGCAACATTTGTCAGTTATGACAGTTACAAGGGGAGCAAATAGTTTTGTTTGGTATCTGATATGCTATGTCTCAAATATTTTATTTTAGCTTTCGAACAGTCCTAAACTTGGCTTGAAGCGATATGAGATTGAGGGCCAACATGTGATCTTATACTTTGACGAGGTAAGCTGTAGTGTTTCTCTTTGTCAGTGAAATACCAGAAGAACACACATCCCTAGTCTCTTCACTTGTCTTGTTCGCTTATAGTAGCTACGAAGGTATTTTTAAGAGCAATTTTCCCAACAGTTGTCGAAGAACTTACAGCGAAGTGATTCCAGTCAATTCCAGTCTTACCAAACGCAGATGATACTATTAAGAACGAACCAATAAGAACTCGAAGCAAAAGCATGCAGTCTGTGGCATGCTGGGAAAGGACACGGGAGTCAAGTCGTGACTGGCTGTAGTCTCTCTACTGACTGGTTGATGAAAAAATAAAATATGTTAACTCTGATTAGTTGGAATACGTCATGTAATATTCTTACACAGTTTAAGAACCCAGAAGCCTGTGAGAGCCGGCGGCGTTTTCGCCTGCTATTTCACAGCGCCAAAAAAAAATAAGAGAAACGAAAACCAGGGAATTGCCGGCCCCTTTAACAGTTGAAGACCGTAAAAACACGAAACAGCTCTTTACTGCTTTTTGGCGGTTTCCAGCTGATATTACCTCGGGTGAATATAAACTGATGCCTCGGGCTATGTAAAGACACTTCTTCTGCTCTTTAGATTTGGAATGGTTTAGTTGGGATAGTTTCTCCGCATTGAAAACAACAATGTTAAAATGTTTTCTTATGTTTTTATTTTTCAGATTGACAAAGTTAGGTTCTCGTTCAAAATTTACCAGTCGACCATGGTGAAGAAAACCAAACCAGCATCCGTCACGGTTTATGATTATTATGAACCCCGTAAGTAATCTGTCATGTCTGTTTTCTCTTGTTCCAATTCTGTTTTAATTCTGACATCCTTTTGTCCGGTTTTTGCAGATCTTTCCGCCACAGTGATGTACAAAATTACTGAGGACATGTGTAGAGAGGATGGCATTGGTAAGTAGTAAAAAACCTTTCTTTTTCTCCCAGAGTCTTGTTCACAGTACTATTAGATTAAAGGAGCTCAGTCACGTTACTTTGAGTTATCTTGGCCATGTACAATATTACCTAAAAATTGAAGAAAAATAGTAGTTTACTGAGATATGAAAAAAAAAGATAATAATAGACCATAAAGGAACAAGAATGGTTAAGGATGAAGAGGATTAACACGTATTACAAACAACGAACTTGAAAAATTTAGGCTGAACATTTCAAGATGCGCAATCCGTGACAAAGCTCCTTTAAACAAGACGTTCCGCAGATGGCACCTCTCGTATTTCACGCCTAGGCACAAAATGCTAATTTGTAGTTTTGCATATTGGAGAGCCAAGCGTGCGATGAACTGAACACGCTTCAAAGTTTCTTAAACCGCAGATAATATTGACAAAATAAGGCATAACTTGTTAATTTTTAACTTAACGTTCTCAACAACAATGAAAAAAAAAAACATTTTATCAGTGGCATTTGTAACCTGCAATCAGGCATTCTCTCTTTTTTGAAAACAAAAACAAACAAAACAGAACAAAAAAAACCCGCCTGATCGAAGGTAATGACATTTATTGTAAAAGCACAGGTTGCTTGTTAGCTGTTTACGCTTTGATGGTTGACTGACAACCTGGCGTGAGAATGGCCAGGTTAAACGGGGCCGTTTATACCGGAACGTCTTGTTTAACAGCGAAAATTACCGGTGTGAACCGATGACAATGCTTAGTTAGGCTGCTCATATTGAGCAACCAGCATTGTTATAAGGTCTTATAACGCTATAGATTAGCTGAATCTAGCGTTCTCTCTCATTGGTTGTTTCTTGGTCACGTGGTTACTGAATTCAAATGTATGCCGTGTACGGGTGATACAGACAATTCGATGATTGTAATTTATCATGTGGATTATGTTCGCTCGTTTGGTTAGCAAGTTTTGATTTCCTTGATGTTTCCCTGGACTTTATAGCATGAAACATCGAAAACAAAATAAAAGTTATTGTGCCCCGAAGAACCAGTCATTAAAATATTTTACCCACGCTTTCTGTAGATGAACAACCTTGAATTCAGACGAGACGGCCAGACCTCCTTCGTTACTGCAATGCCCGAAGCTGGCAATTGGATTTCGACCCGTTAACGGATTTACTTCATAATCAAATTGTTATTATTTTTGTATTGGTTTGAGGTAGCACTGTAGAAAGAGGATTTTAAAAGCTAGACATGTGAGAAGATTTTACGCTATGAAAACATTTTTCTTAGTCAGTGATTATATCTTAATGTTTTCGCTATATTAAGAACAAGCGATCTTGTGATTGACAAACAAATTCTTAAGCATTATAGATCTATATTTGGTGTAGTCAAAAAGCAAAATAAATTTTAAGCTTAAATTGCTTATTTGCTTAGTTTTGTGGTTCAAGTATGAAGGGTGATCACATTACTATCACCCCACCTTTTCATAACAAAACTTAGCTTAGGTGAAAAAAAAATAGAAATTTATGAGTTGGTAAGGCTGGTGGAATAGGCCATTTCCGAGTTACTCCAGCCTCTGTTTCAAAACGAGTCCTCGTGCAAAACTTTCGAATGAAAATGAGTTTGATTTGCGTGAAAATGGACCTTTAGGGGAAACACAGTTTCACATGAATAGTTTCGCACGAAGACTCGTTTTGAGAAAGAGGCAAAAGCCAACTCGGAAATGACCTATTGTGATAAAGAAACTAACCTTGCAGTGGTTGCGGGAAGTAAGCCTGTAACTCGTAGAGGCAGGCAAGTTCCTTGCAGATCATCTCGGTTTATTAGTGATATCAATACTTGCTTTCAAGTTCAGCCCTGCTTTTAAGTTTGTTGCGAACAAATGAACAATAATGAATTATTTTTAGGTGTTGCTCTAAACCATGACACGAGGTTATTGCGCTGTCAGGAGAAATCATTTGGCTCGCTCGCTTGTCAGATTAAAATTAGAGGCGTTATAACATTTGACATTCCATTCAAATGTGGCAGAGGCTTTGCATATTTCGATAAGTAAACATTCCGAAATACCATTAATTACAAAAAGAAGCGAAAGTAAACTACGATGTTTCGAAGTCATCTTAACTCCATAAACAGGTAGAGAAAATGAAATAACGGTCAAGATGTTAATTTATAGGGTGAAAGTTGGAAGAATATGTGTAAGTGTAACACGATCTAATTAAGGTTTTTAGGTAAACCAACAATGCATTGTTTATAATTTCAAATGTGATCTATACAATTCAGAACATGTCGGCTATACTACTAGCCCACCTTTGCCAGCACATCGAAGACCAAAGAGCCTATTCCACTGCAAGACCATGGTGTCAAGTCCCTTGACCCGTCTAACATGTTTGCCGTGCTGAAAGAAAGTGCCCAGGAAAGCATTACTGTTGAATTTACGAAGTGCTTTTCAGTTTCATTTGTGAAAGAAAACCCAAACTCAATAGACAGACGGACTTAACTCGTGCACAAATATTCATCTAAGTTTATTCCACGTTTTTATAATTGTTGACACGTAAGAACTCTTAATAAGACCGTGTTACACTCTCTTCTTACACCGTTCACACACTACAAATTAACATCTCAACCGTTATTTTATCTTCTCTACATGTTTATGGAGTTAAGGTGACTTGGAGACGTCGTAGTTTACTCTCGCTTCTTTTTGTAATTACTTATGTATTTAATCCAACATGATCAAAGGCTGCCGTTTCATTCTGGAATGTCTTTGGTAAATGATGGGTCACGTGATGGGTCACGTGATGGGTCACGTGATGGTGGGTAGTACGAATTCTCGAACTTATTAGTGCGCCTGCGTAAAGTCATCGCATCTCACGCGACGTGTCACGTCAGTCACGTTTTGGAGTCCGAGAGTCTTAGAGACTGGGACTGCTTCCAAAGTAGAAATACGTGTTCGTCCTTATATTCTGTCTCTTACTATTTACTTATAAGGCAAACTGGTATCTTTTTGGCTTTCGTGCGGTTTCAACAAAACCTAAAACGAGACACGCACGAAACACTTTCTTACAAACCGTTTTAAAAACTGCTCTTTTTGTAGGCCCTTTGTCTAGAATTAATTATCATTTTACTTTCTTTTCACTTTCTTGCTGTTTATAATAAAAATTTTCCCACAAATATCGACATTATACAGGTTCAACGGTCTCCTCGTTATTATTTTCTATCCTTCGGATTTTCTTGGTTTGCGTTGCGTGTTTACAGGTGTTAAAACTCGGTCTGTATAATCGCCAATTATAAGTACTGAAATAGTGGATTCAAATTCATGAAATTAGTCGTGGATGTGAACATAATCTGTACCTAGTTAAGCTAAAATCAAAGGAAATATTTGAAGTAAAAATTTCATAGCAATGTAAGTTTATGCCGTGCTTACCCACTTTCTATAATCGTGGCAAACTCTATTGTTTTATTTTTTCGGTTTCGTAGCCATGCGTGTAGTTTATCGCTCTGATTACGAGCCAATTTGGATATTTTAATTATTTTTCTTGGCATTTTCTCACTTTTATCTTCGCTCTGTCTCACAGCACCCAATCAGCGATTTTCAAATTGGATTGACAACGATTATTCCTCGAATGTTGCGACAAGCTGGCAAAAAAATACGGCATAATTGAAAACTTTTTATGTGTAAACGAAATAATTAAAATAGAATTGATGAGGAAACGAACTAATATAATGCGTTCTGTTGTAGCTCTTTTGGAGGACTGAATGCTTTGTCTTCCCGTTTGTTTCACTATGCCTTGGATCACAATTTTTAGCGTATTTTGTTTGTTCCTTTAGTCCTTTAATTCAACTTCCAATTTTTGAACACAGGATAAATTACACAAAAAGACGACCAATTAAAACAGTATTCATTCGAAGGGGAAAACCTCGTGAATACAACTATGTTTTATTCTCCTCCGTATATTTGAAAAGCTGTTTTACACTCTCTTGTCACGTTCTGACCAAGAAACTCAGTGAAATATGAAACAACTTGCGTAAAAAGGTCATCTGATTGTAAAATCAAATGGTTTTAAAAAATGTTCTCTATATGGATCAGCCAATTTTCTGCGAATGTTTTGAAAACCTTACTTTTTCTCTGTGTTTGAACAAACCATGAAAACACAAAAGGCTATTTGGAAACGTTTTTAACGTCTTGGATCACAATTCCATTTGAAGGAGTTGAGTGTTTTCCTTTCTGACAACGGATATGAAAATGGTAATTATCAGAGGCCTTCAAACAAACAAAAGATTTTAAATGCAGATGTTTTATTTTCTCTCGATATTTTCAACTCCTAAGGTAAATTTGCTTTGTAAAATGTTTACAGACGAAAGCAAAACAGAACTGGGTATTGTCCTTTCTTGCAGTTAATTCGAGAATAGATTCACTGACTTTCTTTCTATGTTTATTTATCAGTATGGATGCTCGAATAATTATACAATTTTCTTTCGTGTCTTCGTTTACGTGTGTATAACGATGCACAACACAGAAGGAAAACGATGTTTTGAAGGTAAACCATGCATCAAAGAACATTCAAATTTGCATTAATTCACAAAAGGCGTATTGCAAAAGGTCCTACATTGCAGCCGCTTATTAAAATTGTCGCCATTCTCTTATTGTGTAGGAGCCAAATTGGACAACCCCCACCAAAAAGGAATCAATTCTGATTATAATTGTCCTCCCCGCCGGCTGTGTACATGAATACATTTTCGCGGTCTCCAAGGGAAGTTAAGGTGTGAAAGACTTCTTTTTGGAATAAATTAGATAGCCACAGAATAAACATCCGGAATCTTGGAGTCTTGCAGACCATAGCGCAAATCTTCAATGGTACGTTTTCCTTCAAGATTCGTATCAAAGAAGCTGTAGTCTTGAAACTGTACTTCATGGTTGATGTCAACAGCAGATTTAGTGTTTTCCATTATATAGATTCCCCGTCAAGTGCCTTCTCAGCGCGAGACCTGCTTCTCTGTTAAACTTTAACAAGATTGTGGGTTTTGCTACACAGGAAAACAGTCGAAACGGCTCTCAACCATCCTGGCCTTTTATTTCTACTTTTGGTATGAGCGCCCCCTGCAGGTTTGATGAAACAAGGTAGCAAAACTTGTTCTCTCAGGAGATTGAAAAGTGTGAAACTTTCAGTTTTGTTTCATTTGTTGAAAGACTTGAAACGGAAGATAAATTTTGTATGCGTCAAAGGCAGTGAGTATTGTTGTTGGTGGTGTTAAAAACTGAAAGGATTAATCAGCTCGTCTATAACATTGTGCCACCGTTTAACACCTTGATTATTTACTGGTTGAACAATATCACTCCGCCCCGCCAGAGCGGCGTAGTTTCCATAACAGCCTTCTTCGTTTGTCGATGTACGTGTGGCTTTCGGGAAAAGAAAAACACCACTGAGACTCTCAAGCGTCTTGGTTCTCTTTACTCTTGATCTGCGCTGATTTTGATTACGGTTGGCCACCGTGCTGTGAAAGTTCTCCGCACCAATTCACGATACTCTAAGCTTTGACACCCGCGAGTTTCAGTAGCAGCAACCCTGGCGGCGAACCTTGCACCGGCCATGGGCGATAACCTAGCTCTTGTTGTAACGTTCATCTTCTTGTCAAGTTTAATCATCGCTGCTAACTTGACAGTTAGTATTATAGTTTACCAGCGTAAGAGCATGCGGACGTACACAAACGGGTTTGTTGTATCGCTTGCATTTAGCGATCTGTTGATTGGAAGTGTCTTAATTCCCGCGGCGCTTGTTTCTCTAGCTTCACCCGCCATGGACTACTTAGTTTCCATCACGCTTCTCTCTGGTGTCTTTAACCTGGCAGCTGTGACTTTCGATCGTTATGTGTCCGTGTTAAAAGCCCTGGAGTACGAAAACATCATGAGAAGGAACTTTACGAGAATGATTATTGCAAGTTGGTTGCTGGCAATCTTCATATCTTTAATCCCTCTGATATGGAACACAGACACCAATATGCTTGTGCACAAAATCTATGTCCTTAGCGTGAGCGCGCTGTGCGTTTTGTTGCCGTTCGCGTTTATCTTTGCAGGCTACTTCAAAATATTTCAGCAAGTGAAAAGAAGCGTTAAACGCGAGAAAGCCATCACCGCTTCTGTGAGAAAAACGCTAGACCGAAAAAACAAGAATTCTTCGGAAGCAAAGCTTGCGCAGGTCTTTGTAATAGTAGCTGTTATGTTTGGTCTTAGCTGGCTTCCAGTGCAGTACATGACCATCGTGCACGAAATCGGACGTCCCGACCTGATTCCCAACGATCTTAGTATCGTTTCTCTGTTTACAATCGCTCTGGGATCACTTGTTAATCCAGTTGTATATTCATTTCTGAAGCCAGACTTTCGCAAAGCCATACGACATATCTTCCATCGCCGAAAGCGTTTTGCCGGCAACGGTTCCGCAGCTGCGAGTCTCAAATCGACCACGACTTCGAGCTTTAGATCACGTTTTACTTTTACAAGGAACACCGCCAGCACTCGTGTTTAATAAACATCAAACCACAGGACTAATAACATGTTCAACAAAGTTGAACAGTTCACTTTTAACAACTTCGAAAAGGTAGTATGTGTGTGGCAAACACTGTTTGAGTTAATAAAAACGGCCTCCTTTTCGACAACTTTTGTTTACGTCTATTTAAAACGAAAAGCTCGTCATAATATTAAAACGAAAAAAAAGGTATAGCCCCGGGAGTCCAATATGGTGCCTTATTCACCTGTTTACTGCATGTGCTAATCGAATTATTCCCTTTCGCAATAATTTAAAGTTTGCCTATTTTGGCCTCAAGCGCCACTATCTCTGCTCGCTTGATTGGCGCGGGCGTTTGAAGATAAACGATTTTAAAAGTCTTCTCGTCCAAAGCTACATTGAAAGCACAAATGCAGGATTACTTTATGAAAAGAGATAGCCTTCGCTAATCAGCTGAAATAAACGTTTTAAGGACTATTACGATGAGTTATGGAGCTTCTTCACTTTCTGTTCGGATGTATTATTTCTTAATTTGTTTACCATGAAACGTTTTATTGTTTACACAGGGAATTGACCGATTATTTTGTATTAGATTTCTGTGTGTCAACTCCAAATCGTGACAATTTGGTTGTGGGTATAAAACATAAATATATTTTTAAGTTATTTTCGGAAGTATTTCTTTCATGCCCCGAGCAACATAACAGCTATGAACATTGAAGGGACGAGGCAGCTGATAAATATATTTTTTATTGCGCTGGCATTGTACTAGCTCGTTCATGTTCTTCTCCAGTGTGCCACCTCGCTAGTAACTTCCATTTAATTACTACATGCTATCAAAATTTAGATTTACACAGTCACGGCGAAACTCTGTTATTTCGGCTGCTCAAAGCGATACAGACCATATCTACCGCGCGGGCTTTATGATAAACTTACTGACTGAGAACCCGTTGAACAGGTGTTTTATTTTATTTTATTTTTTTTTCGTTTTATTTTATTTTTTTTTCTTGGTTAAATTCTCGGCCTTATATACTCGCACTGCATTTCAGTATTTAACTAACAGTAGCCAAGGTTCTGTTAGCACGAATTTTTCAGGAATAAAGCTCAATTCGCTTTAAAAGGCGTTATCTTATAATTAACCCATGATTCTGCCTTGATCAGTGACTATTCGTTGGAAACAATTACTGCAATGAGGCTTTTAACGAGGATTTCATGAACTTAGCATATTTATGGCCGACCACTCCACTCGCCTTACTCTTTCCTGTTTGCCGGAAATTAAAGTTTCAGTGTTTGAAATGGAAGACGGTATTCATGCATGACCATTTGTTATTCCTAGCCAATTGTCCACAGTCAATCAGTTACTCTTTCGATCGATATTCTTGGTTTTCCCCTCCGAGGGGCAGCAACATGGCGTCTCCATACAAAGCTCTATAAATTTATTTGGGTGAAACACTTCTCCGAATAACTCGCGAATAAAAAACAGCAGAGACCTAATTTTTGCGAGGTTGTTTACATATCAATCATCTATCATAGTTACGATTTTTAGTTTTGATCATATGACCGGTGAAAAACTGAGAATTGATAAGAGATTTTTCTGCGACTACTTCGCGATTTTTTTCGCGATTTTTAAAGTTTGGGATCTACAGTATTCGTCTTATTACTCATTTGTATCGTCGGTACAGTACGGATCGAGCGTAGCGAGGACTATTGTTAAAAGGCCAAGGACAAATATTCTTCCATTACGGTCTCGAAAAGGCTTGGTTTATTATAGGAAGTTTATTACACGACTTAANTATTTGGAAACGTTTTTAACGTCTTGGATCACAATTCCATTTGAAGGAGTTGAGTGTTTTCCTTTCTGACAACGGATATGAAAATGGTAATTATCAGAGGCCTTCAAACAAACAAAAGATTTTAAATGCAGATGTTTTATTTTCTCTCGATATTTTCAACTCCTAAGGTAAATTTGCTTTGTAAAATGTTTACAGACGAAAGCAAAACAGAACTGGGTATTGTCCTTTCTTGCAGTTAATTCGAGAATAGATTCACTGACTTTCTTTCTATGTTTATTTATCAGTATGGATGCTCGAATAATTATACAATTTTCTTTCGTGTCTTCGTTTACGTGTGTATAACGATGCACAACACAGAAGGAAAACGATGTTTTGAAGGTAAACCATGCATCAAAGAACATTCAAATTTGCATTAATTCACAAAAGGCGTATTGCAAAAGGTCCTACATTGCAGCCGCTTATTAAAATTGTCGCCATTCTCTTATTGTGTAGGAGCCAAATTGGACAACCCCCACCAAAAAGGAATCAATTCTGATTATAATTGTCCTCCCCGCCGGCTGTGTACATGAATACATTTTCGCGGTCTCCAAGGGAAGTTAAGGTGTGAAAGACTTCTTTTTGGAATAAATTAGATAGCCACAGAATAAACATCCGGAATCTTGGAGTCTTGCAGACCATAGCGCAAATCTTCAATGGTACGTTTTCCTTCAAGATTCGTATCAAAGAAGCTGTAGTCTTGAAACTGTACTTCATGGTTGATGTCAACAGCAGATTTAGTGTTTTCCATTATATAGATTCCCCGTCAAGTGCCTTCTCAGCGCGAGACCTGCTTCTCTGTTAAACTTTAACAAGATTGTGGGTTTTGCTACACAGGAAAACAGTCGAAACGGCTCTCAACCATCCTGGCCTTTTATTTCTACTTTTGGTATGAGCGCCCCCTGCAGGTTTGATGAAACAAGGTAGCAAAACTTGTTCTCTCAGGAGATTGAAAAGTGTGAAACTTTCAGTTTTGTTTCATTTGTTGAAAGACTTGAAACGGAAGATAAATTTTGTATGCGTCAAAGGCAGTGAGTATTGTTGTTGGTGGTGTTAAAAACTGAAAGGATTAATCAGCTCGTCTATAACATTGTGCCACCGTTTAACACCTTGATTATTTACTGGTTGAACAATATCACTCCGCCCCGCCAGAGCGGCGTAGTTTCCATAACAGCCTTCTTCGTTTGTCGATGTACGTGTGGCTTTCGGGAAAAGAAAAACACCACTGAGACTCTCAAGCGTCTTGGTTCTCTTTACTCTTGATCTGCGCTGATTTTGATTACGGTTGGCCACCGTGCTGTGAAAGTTCTCCGCACCAATTCACGATACTCTAAGCTTTGACACCCGCGAGTTTCAGTAGCAGCAACCCTGGCGGCGAACCTTGCACCGGCCATGGGCGATAACCTAGCTCTTGTTGTAACGTTCATCTTCTTGTCAAGTTTAATCATCGCTGCTAACTTGACAGTTAGTATTATAGTTTACCAGCGTAAGAGCATGCGGACGTACACAAACGGGTTTGTTGTATCGCTTGCATTTAGCGATCTGTTGATTGGAAGTGTCTTAATTCCCGCGGCGCTTGTTTCTCTAGCTTCACCCGCCATGGACTACTTAGTTTCCATCACGCTTCTCTCTGGTGTCTTTAACCTGGCAGCTGTGACTTTCGATCGTTATGTGTCCGTGTTAAAAGCCCTGGAGTACGAAAACATCATGAGAAGGAACTTTACGAGAATGATTATTGCAAGTTGGTTGCTGGCAATCTTCATATCTTTAATCCCTCTGATATGGAACACAGACACCAATATGCTTGTGCACAAAATCTATGTCCTTAGCGTGAGCGCGCTGTGCGTTTTGTTGCCGTTCGCGTTTATCTTTGCAGGCTACTTCAAAATATTTCAGCAAGTGAAAAGAAGCGTTAAACGCGAGAAAGCCATCACCGCTTCTGTGAGAAAAACGCTAGACCGAAAAAACAAGAATTCTTCGGAAGCAAAGCTTGCGCAGGTCTTTGTAATAGTAGCTGTTATGTTTGGTCTTAGCTGGCTTCCAGTGCAGTACATGACCATCGTGCACGAAATCGGACGTCCCGACCTGATTCCCAACGATCTTAGTATCGTTTCTCTGTTTACAATCGCTCTGGGATCACTTGTTAATCCAGTTGTATATTCATTTCTGAAGCCAGACTTTCGCAAAGCCATACGACATATCTTCCATCGCCGAAAGCGTTTTGCCGGCAACGGTTCCGCAGCTGCGAGTCTCAAATCGACCACGACTTCGAGCTTTAGATCACGTTTTACTTTTACAAGGAACACCGCCAGCACTCGTGTTTAATAAACATCAAACCACAGGACTAATAACATGTTCAACAAAGTTGAACAGTTCACTTTTAACAACTTCGAAAAGGTAGTATGTGTGTGGCAAACACTGTTTGAGTTAATAAAAACGGCCTCCTTTTCGACAACTTTTGTTTACGTCTATTTAAAACGAAAAGCTCGTCATAATATTAAAACGAAAAAAAAGGTATAGCCCCGGGAGTCCAATATGGTGCCTTATTCACCTGTTTACTGCATGTGCTAATCGAATTATTCCCTTTCGCAATAATTTAAAGTTTGCCTATTTTGGCCTCAAGCGCCACTATCTCTGCTCGCTTGATTGGCGCGGGCGTTTGAAGATAAACGATTTTAAAAGTCTTCTCGTCCAAAGCTACATTGAAAGCACAAATGCAGGATTACTTTATGAAAAGAGATAGCCTTCGCTAATCAGCTGAAATAAACGTTTTAAGGACTATTACGATGAGTTATGGAGCTTCTTCACTTTCTGTTCGGATGTATTATTTCTTAATTTGTTTACCATGAAACGTTTTATTGTTTACACAGGGAATTGACCGATTATTTTGTATTAGATTTCTGTGTGTCAACTCCAAATCGTGACAATTTGGTTGTGGGTATAAAACATAAATATATTTTTAAGTTATTTTCGGAAGTATTTCTTTCATGCCCCGAGCAACATAACAGCTATGAACATTGAAGGGACGAGGCAGCTGATAAATATATTTTTTATTGCGCTGGCATTGTACTAGCTCGTTCATGTTCTTCTCCAGTGTGCCACCTCGCTAGTAACTTCCATTTAATTACTACATGCTATCAAAATTTAGATTTACACAGTCACGGCGAAACTCTGTTATTTCGGCTGCTCAAAGCGATACAGACCATATCTACCGCGCGGGCTTTATGATAAACTTACTGACTGAGAACCCGTTGAACAGGTGTTTTATTTTTTTATTTTTATTTTTTTTCGTTTTATTTTTTTTTTTTCTTGGTTAAATTCTCGGCCTTATATACTCGCACTGCATTTCAGTATTTAACTAACAGTAGCCAAGGTTCTGTTAGCACGAATTTTTCAGGAATAAAGCTCAATTCGCTTTAAAAGGCGTTATCTTATAATTAACCCATGATTCTGCCTTGATCAGTGACTATTCGTTGGAAACAATTACTGCAATGAGGCTTTTAACGAGGATTTCATGAACTTAGCATATTTATGGCCGACCACTCCACTCGCCTTACTCTTTCCTGTTTGCCGGAAATTAAAGTTTCAGTGTTTGAAATGGAAGACGGTATTCATGCATGACCATTTGTTATTCCTAGCCAATTGTCCACAGTCAATCAGTTACTCTTTCGATCGATATTCTTGGTTTTCCCCTCCGAGGGGCAGCAACATGGCGTCTCCATACAAAGCTCTATAAATTTATTTGGGTGAAACACTTCTCCGAATAACTCGCGAATAAAAAACAGCAGAGACCTAATTTTTGCGAGGTTGTTTACATATCAATCATCTATCATAGTTACGATTTTTAGTTTTGATCATATGACCGGTGAAAAACTGAGAATTGATAAGAGATTTTTCTGCGACTACTTCGCGATTTTTTTCGCGATTTTTAAAGTTTGGGATCTACAGTATTCGTCTTATTACTCATTTGTATCGTCGGTACAGTACGGATCGAGCGTAGCGAGGACTATTGTTAAAAGGCCAAGGACAAATATTCTTCCATTACGGTCTCGAAAAGGCTTGGTTTATTATAGGAAGTTTATTACACGACTTAACGATTAACAAAAGATGTAGGGATGACGATATGATTGATCATTGCAGTTACACACAACTTAAGCAGTTGTGAAATTAAAGCCTGAAAAAATTCGGGCTTGAACGGGACTCGAACCCATGACCTCTTCGATACCAGTGCAGTGCTCTACCAACTGAGCTAGCGAGCCAACTGGGAGCTGGGAACCGTTTCTCAAAAGCCCCGGAAAGTTTTCAGACCCGTCAAGCCATAGCAAAATCTCGAACCTTACGATTACAGAGCTGTTTTATTCACATCATCGGCATGAGTTGTATTCTTAATATGAATAGAGCTTCCCTTTATACAAGAAGTTTCAGGCGTATACACTTCTCCGCTTTTAGATACAGATAAACTAAAAATGGCTTTAAGGGCCCGAAAAGTTTCCGGGGCTTTCGAGAAACGGGCCCCTGGTCACATTGTGAGTTCGTAATATACCCGTAGATGATGAAGAATGCGAATGAATATATGAAAGATATGACCAGCTCCCAGTTGGCTTGATAGCTCAGTTGGTAGAGCACTGCACCTGAGATCACGGGTTCGAATCCCGTTCAGGTCTGAATTTTTTTCAGGCCGTAATTTCACAACTGCTTAAGTTGTGGGCATAACAGCGATGATCAATCATGTCTTCATATCTTTCTCTACAGTTCAAATATGTGATCTTTCATATATTCATTTGCAAAAGATGTAGGGAGAGCGGAAGTAAAATAAAGCAAACAATAGGATAAGTTGCTTTCAGTGGCATACATCGTTGAGAGAGCTTATTTTGAAGTAGGACGTGTTACAACTTTTGCTGTATTTTCTTTCTACACCTACAAACGAAACGTAGTGACATAACAGGTTACCATAACAACAGTACATCTTTAATGGCCCTTCACACGGTCAGTTTTTCTCATTTGCATTACAATGTAATATAACGTGGATGCGAGGCAATTTCGGACAGAATCTACAAAATACTCACATGTGTGTTGGATTATATTGTAGTGCAAATGAGAATAACTTATCACTCTAGCTCTAGCAAATGATCAAAACATGTTCGAATTCAACAATGATCAAGCATTTGTTTCAGAGCATTGTTGTTGGATAACTGATAGTGTTTGCCGCCGCAATTCTTTGTATTTTTTCCGTTTGTACGCGCATAAGGTCACCTCCAGCATCACTTGCTTTCATAGGTCAGGTAACTGAGCACACAACTATAAAATGGCCTATTGTTGTCAGCCACCTTTCAACCTTTAAAGCCAACTGCTATGGTAATCCCTTCATATGTCGAGAAAATGACCATTACTTATACCATTATTGTATCGACTGACAAATACGAGTTATGCAACGCTTTCGAGTGGTATACCACGGAATATTCCATGCGTTATTTGTATGTTTTCGGTCGTTATATCTATTTAGGAAATACAGTGGCCAATGCGATATACATGCGGCGCACGATGGGAAGGTTTTGTGTAATGCCGCCGAATATACAACGGCTTTCCTGTATTCTGATTGGCTGTATTTTCTATGGCATGGTTTAAAGATTGGTATTATGTTCCATCACGTGTACCAGCTGAAAAGTACACGAAAGGGTATGATATTAAACTAAAGTTAATCCTGAGGAACCCTCAGTTTTGGTTCCTTCACGTGATGTGTTTAAACCAACCGCGTCCGAGACTGTTTTGAAAAAAATGATATACATATATATAGACTCGATATATTGCTTCGTCATGAATGCCACACTACATACTTAACTGCGTAATAGATATACTGCAAAAGATAGGAAAGTGAAATATTTTGTTCCAGTCTAGCCTGTGAAACCACCTCCCCCCNCCCCCCCCCCCCCCCCCCCCCCCCCCCCCCCCCCCCCCCTCCTACCCTCCGTTCCCTCTTGGCCCTTCCAGCCGCGCTCAGACCCTTGTCAAACAACATCACTTGGAATCTGAATAACGAAAGATCCAAAAATATAATAATCAGTTTCCTCCCAGACGCGGTTAGCTGCCAAGTAAATTAGACCGGGGAGGAGAACTGGGTTGAAGAAAAAGTGGCGCTTTTTATGGTTATTGTTCACATCCCATTGTGCTGGCCAGAAATAGCTCCACATCAATCACATTTCAGCCTCGTGAACGTCACATGAGCTCACTCCCGTCGTGAGGTCGTGATCTTTTCAGCGTAGCATTCGTTCCGCAGGGACAAGTCTTCGATTGCTTTTGACAATGACTCGTTCTATGTTTGCTGTACTCCTCATTCATCTCCTGGTCTACTGCAGTTATGGAGAAGCAGACGATAACAAGCCCGAGCAAATACACGTCGGTTTTACGGGAATTTCCAGCGAGCGAATCGTTAACTATGTGACTCCCTCGCCGACCTTGAAGCCAGAGACAATCGTGGCATATGGCACGAGTCCTAACACGTTAAACAAGAAAGTGACTGGGGATTCGTTCGTGTTTGGTACCGGAGGACATAATTTTACCATTCATAATGTGAAGGTATGAACGTTAGAAAAATTCATGTTGCTCAGACACCGGCCGGCTCCACTTTAAACTTTATAAGAAGCATTTTTTGTATCACTTTGTTAGAATGCTGAACAGGGACATTAATGTATTTCAGTATCGTTAAGTTCGTTAAGTGATTTTGAAACTGAAAATGTTTATTCGTTATATACATGAAAACCTTCACTCCTTTAGGACTTAAGCGTCTGGTTTCGATTCACATGAATTTTCATCAACTTCCGGCTCTAGGAAGCGTCGAAAATCGAGGTCAGCTATTCTTTTAAAGTGATCGCCCGTAATACACAAACCATGCTATTGCTGGCCCTATAATCTTCGGAAAAAATTCGATTATTTCCATCTTGAATGCTTCCCAATTAGGAACGAAAGGGTGTCCATTTAAATTATTACATAACGGATTTGCATAATTCCCAGGTTGTGATTTACAATGTCACGCAATTTCTTTACTTAATTTATGTCACGTCGTGTAGTTGACAGGTCTCGAACCAAACACCCGCTATTACTACCAAGTTGGTGTCCCGGACAATGGAACAAGTGAAGTCATGTCTTTTCAAACTAAAGACGGAAACCTAGTCTTCGCGGTGAGTACAGTAATAACTCTTCTCTTTTTTCATGTCACGCTCGCGTGTGCAGGTCACGCATACGTTTTCCGAAAATTTCGGGTCTTTTAGTGCAGAGTTTTTTTTAAAAAATGTGAGGGTTTGTTTTTCAATTGTAATACACCAAGAAACCAAGTTGTCAAGATGTGAACACTTGCGCATCGGCACTAATCTTCAGTGACGTTCATCCAGGCGTTCATTAATTTCAAGATTATCAAGCCTTCTATTGAACAGCTTATCTAACGGTGGCTTAGTACCAGGTTTAAGTCTGCATACGAGCCAAGTGGCCCATCAGGCCGGAGCTTATTCCGGTTTCTGTAACATGAAGCGACTAGGAGTATTTCTACTCCCCCCTGGATGGGATGCTAGTCCATCGCAGGGTTAGCCCCTGCATTAAATTCGCCGGTACTCATTTGTACACCTGGGTCACCAGAGTTGAGAGAAACACTGTGAGAGTAAAGTGTCTTGCCCAGGAACACAACACAGTGTACCGAGCCAGGGCTCGAACCCGGACCGTCCAGCGCACTAACCATGAGCCCCACCGCGCCTCCACAGGTTAAGGTTTAGAATTTTCAATATTGCATTGCAAGATGAAAAGCGTTGTTGTGTGCGAACTTTTTTATTTTGCCTTGAGGTTATTTTGTTTTGCCGTGAGCTTTTTTAATTTTGGCGTGACACCTACGGGTCACCATACCCGACAAACTGTAAGAAAATTCTGTTGGCGCTATTAGGTCTTTGTTACCAGTTTTGGAAAGATGGTTCAGTTTCAGGACTCCATTGTGACCTCGTGCTTAATTTTTTTGATAGGTATATGGTGACATGGGCTACACAAATTCTGTCAGTCTTAATCGACTCATACAGGAAGTGAACAGCGGAGGGTATGACACCGTAATTCATGTCGGAGGTACACTGTCTATATAAAACACATATGCGTGGTTTTCTGCGTAACCGGCATGTCCCCGTTTGTCACGCAAGGGTAGGAAAAAAGATGGCGGCTGTACATTTTACCACAATACCTTGCTAACCTAACACAACCATATTTTGGCAGTATTTGTTCCTGTACTAACGACATTTTGTATGCTATGTTTGAAGATTTAAGAACTTTTCTACGCGTTTTTATGAGCGTTGTTAAATTTTTCGTACGCTACGAATGAGCAAATGAACGAGTCGCCATCTTTTTTCCTACGATGGATTGGCCTGGCTCGATGACCAGTCGACAAACGATTTGTTACTAGCTTTCCTATCTTTGTCCCTAAGAGATGTAGAACTACAACATATCAGAAATCTTTTTTTTATTAGAACAATCAGAATCTGGAACTTACTGACCGGCAGAATGGACTTAGCTAATGCTGCTCTGGCTAGTTTCAAATCACTTCTTTATGACTTCTTCTCTCGTGCTGTCAGAATGAACTACAATCCGGACAATCCTCGAACATTTAAAACCATCTGTTTGAATTGCAACTCCACAAGATTTCTAGACTTACCAATAATGTGCTGCATGTAATGTGCTTTTTCTTTCTTTCTTTTTTACATATATTTTATTTCTGGGCCCGCAGTAATTGGCTACCTAGCTGTTTCAATGTCCCTGCCAAACCTCTACAAAGCTAATAAAATAGAAAAATAAATAAAAAAAAACATTTGGGATGTCTTGGACGAGTCTGTCATACTGTGAACCTGTGCGTCAATCTTTCTCCCACTTTTCACCATTTCAGTGTCAATCGCAATTCTTCTTTCTGATTCCAAATATTTCTTGTAATATTTATATTATTGTAGTTCTTGGAATTTCGTGGACATCATGATATCGGCCTCTATGTATCTGTGTGAAGATGCATTGATACTGTCCATGTAAACAATTCTGGTCAGTTGTAGTTTCCTTCGATTTGAGTTTTATTTTGACCTCTATGGAAAAGGTCATTGAGTCTTTGTAACTTTATAACGTCTTTTTTTATTCCAGATATGGCCTACGACATGTACGAAAAAGACGGAGACACTGGAGATAAGTGAGTAAGAGAGATGTTAGCCTCGGGGAGAAAATTTCTTCTATACTCGGTATTTATAGATCACCAGTCGGACATGACTTCTGCAAGAGAGACGAGTGGTGGGAAACCGAACCCAGTAGAATCTTATCTTCAGGAACAGAGTTCATTGATCGGTATCACTTCTGGAGCTCTTCGTTATTCGCCTTTTCCGTGTGTCTTTTTGTTCTAACAAGCCAGTCTACGCCTTCACTTTCTTTTCAGTTTTTATACAATACAATACATGAATTTATATAGCGCTAATTTCCAGAGGTCAGTGGCGCTTTACAATGTTTGTAATTAAATTTATGTTGTTTTGTTTCTTTTCTTCTCACTCAGTTCGCGTTGTTCTATGCTTTTGTTCGGTATTTGTATTTATGTTTTGATGACTTAGAGAAGGATTAACTTTGCTTTTTTAAATCTTGCAGCTTTATGAGGTCTATACAGCCCATTGCCACAAAAGTACCCTATATGGTTCTCCCAGGAAATCACGAGGTACTGTTTCCTCTTTTCACAAAATAATTTTTTTCAGCATACCGGTAACAACAACGCACGCTTTATTCAATTTGGCTAACAGTGTTTTTTATCTTTTAGTATAAGTATAACTTCACCCACTACCTTCATCGTTTTTCTAACATGGAGCTGGGTGTTGGACAGACGAGCGGAAGTGAGACGAGTCTTTGGTAATTCATCTTTTTCCATAAAAATCTTTAATCTCTATCAAGTAACTTTGATTCTTGACGCTAATTAATTAACGTAGCTATAGAAGAAACGCAGCATTTGGAAATTAGTCTGTCCTCAGACCCTCTATGTTGTCTTGAGTACGTCGAGATCGTAAGCTTAGCAAAATATTAACTCGGCGCGTGGGATATGAACGAGCCAGAATGCAAAGAGACGTTTGTGGACAGACGTTTTGGAAATAAGATTGATGATCATGTGCACTATCGTAAAAAATACCTAAACTAGAACAGTTACACTGCTAAGCCAGAACCGAAAGAAAGAAAAAAGTAAATTGATCAATTCTGATCAAAAAACAGTATTAGCACGTCACACTGCTTCTTTCAACCACCGAAGTATTGTCTGACTGTTTTGTCTTTATTGTAGGTGGAGTCTGGATATAGGCCTCATTCATTTCGTAGGTTTTGACACTGAAGTGTACTACTATTACTCTGATAAGGTATTAGGAGCCTTTCAACTTTTATGCATGTTTTGGCTGTCTCTTGAAGCACGGTCAAAGAAATTTCTTTTAATTCCGATCTTGTCAGACATCGGTCAGTTATTAGGAAAAACTCGTTTAGTTAGAAACAGTGCCAAGGGCGTAACTATTTTAAACTGATGGAACACTATACATTAACCGCTTTTAAGAGAAAATGAAGGTCTCGTCATTTTCTCTTGCCGCTTTAAAATAATTAGGGCACATAGACTTCTTATGTGATGAATACGGTACCAGTTTTTGTGATTTCCTCAAAAAGACGTTCAGTGGCTAATGTGTGTTTTTTGTTGCAGGGTCAAATTCAGAGACAACTCAACTGGCTTGAGGCTGACTTGATTAAGGTGAAGTCTAATTACAAAACAAAAGGTCAATTTTTGTATTAAATATGAGCAATAACCCCAGACGTTGACAGTTTGTTTTGTTTTTTTACCCTGTTAGCAGTCATACATCTCACCCTAACTCTATTTACTCTCTAAACTTTTTTGGCCCCTCCATCTGTTTTCACATTAGTTTGTTTGTATATTGTTTTGTCGTTTTTGTTCTGTCCTATATAAAGGCCAACCAGAACAGAGACAAGACGCCATGGATTGTTTCTCTTGCCCACAAGGTACATTTGGTTGCCAATGCTTCAATGATGAAAGTGTTTTCTAATGACTGTTGTGAAACCAAAATTTAAGCCATAACATCTTCGAGCCTCGTCACAATTGTTGAAACAGGTCAGCTTTATTTTCCCTGTGCCCCCGTGTCGATGTTATCTACGAGAAAATTAGGCCGCACTAAGATATCCCAGCGTTGATTGGGAAGCTGGGTGTTTCAACAAAATGTTACGAGGCTTGACCGATCACGGCAGTCCAAATAACGCACTGATCCGATCAGAACCAGTAATAAACACGGGAAAACGAGTGTAAGCAACAGTTTTCTGAGATGTTCACCAGTCACTGACCAAGCTGATCGGAATTTATTTAACGAGAGTTAAACCCCAGACCTCCCGCACAATAGCCGGGCTGGGCACTCTACACCTCGGAGAGGCGGCTAGACTTGTGCTTCACTGGACCTTACATTACTTCAGTTTTCTACGGAATTTGCCAACAGTTTCCCTCTAGACTAGCTCTTCCTGCTTTAAGATTGCCTCAGTAGAACTTAAGAAACGATCCGTGATTAAATCTTCGGAGAGATTCTAGAACGGGTTATTTGACCTCTTTATCTGGTACGTGCGCTTTCTAATAACTACGATATAAACCGTTGACTTAAATTATTTCATATCACTGTAGGCGTGGTTTATGGAGAAGACAGACTTCTCAGATTTTGGACCTCTTATGCACAAGTATGGTGTCGACCTACACTTATGTGGCCACGCACACAACTACCAGCGGCTTTACCCAAGTAAGTAAGAAAAGCATAAGTGCAGCGAATGTCGCGAAACCCAAATACTATTGGTTCTGGTTTGTACATACTGACTGCCGTATAAGTTCTAGCTGTAGCTTATTTAAACCAGTATAAAAGAACTGACAAACGCAACTTAAACATTGACATTTTGTAAGAAACCACTTCAATTCCATGAAAACATGGCCTTAGTTGTGGTAAACTTTCAGTTATTTTACAAGAACAATAAAGTATGTTTCTTGCACCACTGTAAAAAGTTTCAGTGGCCACTTTAGACGATATACAAACTTTGTCGTGTGCGTTTTTTTTTTGAGCTCTCGTTGTCCGTGTCTTACAAAAACAACTTTCATCATTTGCAATATCTGAAGCTGCGATTTGTCAAGCGGTAACATGTTTCACAATCATGCGACATTGCAGCGTCGTACACCACCGCGGTGATCGTACGCCAGGCGCCGGGTTGCACCACTAATCAATTCTTGTCGTAAGCTTCTCAGTGCCACATGTTCTATTGTCTTAATCGACCCCAACAACGCATTGTCGTTTTGTACCTAGCTTACAACGGAAGCGTGGATAAACCAACGGACAATCATGTTTATGTAAATCCCAAGTTCAAGACAGTGATTGTGGCTGGATCTGCGGGATCTCACGAGAAACTCTCAAACTGGACCCGGGCACCTGATTGGTTGTCGGCAAAATACATCTACGACTATGGGTAGGTTGGTTGGGAAGTACATTAAGACTATGGGTGGGTTGGTGGGGACGAATATCTGCTACTATGGGTAAGCCAATGGGGATGGGCCTCAGATGACAAAAGGTAAGCTCGTATCTTGGGAATTTCCGATCGTCCGTGACGGCATCTCCGACCCCCCTTTTTTTTCCTCAGAAATCAAGATTTAAATCGGAAGTTCGTTCTGAAATTTGACATGTGGATGTATTTTGCCAGATATCAGGTGCCAGAACATCACTTTTCACTTTTTGTTGCGAACGCAGTTGGGAAACATATCTATTCAGCTGTCTTTAACCGACACTCCGTGTTAATTTCAGCGTACGGCGGTAAACTGGATAACCAAACCAAAGAACACGTTTATATTAACCCAGCTTACCTGACGACCATAGTAGCTGGATCTGCGGGCTCAAAGGAAAAGCTTTCAAGCGGTTCCGCGCCTAAAAAGGATCTGGCAAAATACATCGAAGATTACGGGTCAGTACAATAACCATAGGTTGTTCATTGGGGTGGGGTGGGAGAAACAAAGCAAGGGGGTGGGAGTATTATGACTTTTTTCCTTTCTTGACAGTCGATAACGGGGAGTGTGAACTTCAGTTCTGGATAAACATAACTGACAGTACGGTTAGCTGGGGTGTCCGAGAATTTATTTAGCCGTCAGTTTTTAGCGTAACGCGACAACCTAAATGTCGGCTGTCTAAGTAACGTAAGAATTAAGTCAGTTTAGAGTTGTTTTAAGTTGTTTCAATTTGGCTTTTTTTCATTCCTTCTCCAGCTATGGCCACCTGCAGGCCATTAACAGGACCCATTTATACTGGACTTGGGAGAACACCCATGAAAATGTACGGTCTGTGATGCAGGACTATCTTTGGATCGTGCAAGAGCACCATGGCATGAGGGGCCTCTACCAAGAAAAGTATGAACTCCCGAACGAGGAAGACATTCAAATATGATTTTTGAACGAATACAGTAAAAGTATATAGTAGACTACGGAAAAGCCCTTGTGTGAACAACCAATTTCAGTAGCCTTTTTACAGTTTATGTACTACGAAATTACTTGTTGCCTGTTTTCGAAGTAGAAAAAATAAACTAAAATAAATCTGCGCATTACTTCCATGCTGTCCGTTCATAAACCGAATCTCGATTATGTGAAATTTTCCCTGTGGTCCTGAATTGTATTTTCTATTCAGTCGTTATTTCAATTATCCGAACTCCCACTTATCCAGATTATTTAGCGAGTCCCAACCACGCGGAAACGGGCTTTGAAGTGCTTTGAATGTATTCTGCGCATAACTGATTTTGCCTTTGCCATCTATGTGCTACCATGTAGCCTATCAGAACGCTAGAGATCCATAACACAGTACCATTTCGTCCGTGCGCACGTTCGAAGGTGTTTAAGAGCAAGTGCACAGAAAAATTGAGCAAAATGCCAAAATCGTGGGCACGGCAAAAAATGAAACCAGTCTTAATTTTCAATTTGTAATGAGGTATTGACAAGTTTTCAATGGTTTCGGGCTTTCGTTCTCCAAATACGGCCGGGTTTTCGAATTATTTGAGAAAATCGATTTTCGCACTCTCGCTGGCGAAGGATAGCAGGATAATTAACATAAATTGACATTGTCGTAAATGTCTTTGCGCAAGTAGTAAAGCCTATAACATCTGGAAGAAAGAAAGTAATTTAAAAGGAGAAGTATCTGACACTTTATTTATGCCTACTTTTTGGTTTTAGATGATGCTTCTTGCTACGACAAAACACTTTCTTTGATAACTGAGGCTTCACCATAGTCTCAGCAAATCGAGTTTCACTTCATAATTACAAACCAACTATTCGATATGTGGCCATTGTTCAATTGGGCTCGTTTTTTCTGGTTACAACGTGTCTAAGTGTTCTCCTTACACACCATATAAAAATTAGTCTGGGTTTTTACGCGAGCGCTTTATAAAACGCCTTCGAAAATTGAGTAATCTCACTAAAATTTAAACCAATTAGCATATTCCCGATACTTGACACTTCAGCGCAAAGACGCTTTTCAGCCGCAAAGGCAGGTTTTGAACTGATGAAATTATAGCGCTGAAGTCTGCTTCAAAGCTTAAGAAGGCTGACTTACTTTTACATGCCGTCCTGTTATTCTCCATTTTGTGCTGCGGTCTACATGCGGTAACTTACCGGTAGTTCATTCGGTCAAGGGTAACGATTTAAAGTCACGGTAACGTCAGTCCGTGATTCTCCTTCACAAACAAATGTAAGTGTGTGTGTGTGGGNCGGGAAACGGCGGGAAACGGGAGAGGAAAGGGTGGGAAGTGGTAATTCTAAGAAGGAGGGAATCTTAAATTAAGCATTAAAATACTTTCAAAAACAAGAATCCAAAATCATGTCTTTGACTTGTAGTTGGCTTTGTGATCTTCTGTACAAAAGAGGACGGATATCCGTTGGAAACAAGTACAGGTGACAGATGTTTCTTCTCTCCAGCGATTACTGATGGTTTGGTCACAAGACGTTTAGCGCCTTTGCGCCTATTTTCCTGTTTTGGAACAATCTCGTTCCTGGAGCCTTCGTTGCCCCTGTCCAGCGCTGGACAAAGGTAACGAAGGCTCTGGGAACAAGATTGGTTTTGGAACTGTTAGGCAGATTACTTGGTGTATTTTCTTAAGTGCTCGCTCCTCGCAAATTCGGATGAGTGCACCCTGGGTTAACCAATTAAAAAAAGCAGGGCAGAGAGGGGAGGGGGTGGGGGGGGGGT